TTTATTCTGTTTGCATTTAGACCTTTATGTTGCAATAAGCCAGTCAGTCAATGAAGTCTTTTAGCAATTGCCATGTTAAGACATACTTCAATGATACTGAAATGACTAAGTATCGAGAAGTGAACCACTTAAGAGACACACTGACTTAAAACATAATTCAATTCAATTCGAGGTTTTTGTTGTCACATGTGCGTACATACACAGGAATTGAAAAAAAACTGTCTCTCTAGCCAACGGTGCAAAATACAGAGAATAATTAAATAAATACACAAAGTACAATAGAGAAGAGTATAATTCAGTAGGGGAGTAGTATATGTGTCCGCAATCTACCCTCGTTCCAATTTCATCTATGTATAGACTTACATACACATGCAAACCCACTGATTAGAAATAAATGATTCTGCGTAGTGGCTGCTCATCATACACCAGCTTGGAAGATGATAAGCAAATTGGTTGTTATGAAAACTGTTACTATTTAAACAGCAAAGACATTACAAATGGGAGGATGATAGGTAACATGCATGAGAGCAGCTTATTGTCTCTAAACAGAGGTGGGTGAAAAGTAATCATTTAATTTTTTGGAGGTTATCGACTATAATGATGTTTCACAGTATTTTTTGTGTTGTCCTAGCTTGTTCTTGTTAAATATGTCTTAGGATTTTATTAAAGACAACTTATGCATGAGCAAATGGGTCTCTGTTGTTGAGTTAAACCTCTCATTTATTGCAATTTTTTTGCCCTTCATGTCATAAGGCAAGACCTGATGACTTTGCCTTAGCTGGTATGTCATAGCGGACATGCTTTTCACACTTGTCCCTCTTCATTTTGCGTGGTAGTTAATTCACAGATGGCAAAAGAAGTAAGTTGTCAATCTCGCTTCAGCAGTGACCACTTTGTGCAGATTGGCATCATTTCGCAACATCCATCCTGTCAAAGCATGACCCACCTACATGGGAGTGAGGATTACCCATGTCTATTTCTGTCAAAACTCGAACGTGTAACAAATAATTTATGCAAAAAAAGTAATTTGGTTCGAGTATTTAGTGAGCAATTTGCTGCAAAAACAAATGAAGTTAATTTCAGTACAAGGTACAGTCAGATCTTTTTCTACTTGATGCATACATAAAATTAAAGGAGGAAAAGTAATTTTAAATCCTTTAGATGGAAAATCAACAGAAGTGAGGCTGTCAGTATGTTAAGATGAGAGTGAGGTGTAGCTAATTGGTTACTAATTATGCAGCAAATTGTCTAATTAAGCTTTTAGTTAATTAAGCGTTGCTTGCGCAGCAGTCTTGGGAAGTTATTTCATGTTTCAGGGTTAAAGGGAAGACGTGGGAGTACAGTTTGACAAGGAGAGAACGTGGGGAGGCACAGCCGTGTGGGCTATATTAAGTATCAGCTGTACACAGGTCTTGAGAGTGCAGGTGTTTTGGCTTGGTGATACAGCCTCACACAGGCTTTGTGGCCTGAGATAGCTTTTGGTGTGTTGGAACTTTGTCAAATGAAACTAGATAATAAAAAGTTTGAATGCCTTCATCTCCAACAGTTAGTTTCTCTGTTAGTGCCGAGGTGGAATGTCAAGTGTCTCACAAAAAGGAGACATGGAGTCGTTTTTGTAAGGCGTTGTATTTTTCTTGATTTTGTTCCAGGACATACTTTCAGTACCCAAGAAAACAACTGATGATGGCTTTGAGACCGATAACAAGATTTTTGCTCCACCAAAAGCTCAGTTTAAAGCAAGATCTTTCATCAGTGTTTTCTGTTGTACCACTGGGAACTCACAAACCAGATATAACAATTTACACTGAATTTAAAAAACCTGATTCTTATCTTACACAAATTCAATCTTGATATTTTTATGTGGCTTAGTGAAGCATTTACAAGCTGTAACATACAAGAATGATGATATGTTATAAGGTCCAAGACATCTTGGACATCTTTCTTTAAAACTCCTGCAAGGGAATTTCTTTATGTGTAGATTTTGGTGTCCATTGCGGATAAGGTGGTACTTCTTAAAACTTTTCTGTTTTTCTCTTGTAAACAGTGGCCATTGTGGTCATATTACTCTCATACCCTCACAACAAAACACAGCAAGTGAGAGAGGGGACCACAGCACCTTTGACGACAAAGCTGCAGCTGAATAATGCCATCACACAAACAATGTCAATCTGGCAACTAGGCCTGCACGATATATCGTTTGAGCATCGTCATCGCAATTTACGAGTGTGCGATAGTCACATCGCAGAGCCTGCGATGTCGGAGGTGAATGAACTCAGTTAATTTCAAGGGTAACTGACTGAGATACACTGCATGTGACTCTGCATGTGCTGTGCACCGATCCACCAATCACCTTCATTCTTCACTCAGTTGCCAATCAGACTCAGTTCTCAGTTGCCAATCAGACTACCCTGCCAGCTGTCAATCAAAATCAGAGAGGAGGAAACCCACCCCTGCACATGTTCTGCACATGGGGTTAGTCGCTGGCTGCCGGTGTTGAGCCGAGAAACGCGTGTCCGCTGAGAATTACTTTCAGAACTTTACTCATGACTGTTAAGCCCAACAAATAAGAACTGTATGGGTTTTAAATTGTACATTTCCGTGGACCACTCTACTATAAGCGGTGCGCGTTTTGCGAGGTGATGCAATTCTCGGAGGACATACGTTTCTAGGCACAACACCGCTAACAACAACAACGATTGCAAAATGAGCAACGAACAAGATAAAACCACCAAAAATGAAGATTTGTTGCCAAAAAGAAAAGGAAAGTCAGTTATCTGGAATTATTTCGGTTACAAGAAGGATAATGTCGAACAAAACGCGTGTTCTGTGTTCATCTGTCGCCACAATAACGTCCAAGAACAATAAGAGCAAAAAATATCTCTGAGACAGACAGAAGCCATTTTAACATTCACAAAAAGAGGTAAGATCAGAGCAGGTTAACTGTCCTCAAGATTTCAGCGGTGCAGCATAACATTAAATGCTATTCAGGTCATCTGGTGAAAATTCCTGTATTTTTTAATATCGCAATATATATCGCAGGGTTGAAAAAATCGCAATATTAGTTTTTTCCAATATCGTGCAGCCTTAGTTGGGAGGTGAGTTTCTGCTAAGTGTCACTGGTATTGTTTTTGTTTTGTTTTTTTCATGATAGAGGGGACAGAGTCTACACACATGTTAAAAGAAAACAGAATGCATATTCTTATTTTTGTAACTACACTTCACAGTCTATTGGTTCTGCTGGGTATTTATTTTGGTTATTCACATTCTCGGTTTGGTGAGAAGTTTCTACAAACAGAAAATAAACTTTTCTCCATCAAAGATTCTGGGAAAAAGTGTGTTACTTTGATTTAAAAAAAACTTTGATTAAAAAAAAACAAAAACAAAAAAAATAGCTGGGACTGGTTTTATAAAATGTTGTCAAAAACTGAATTTAGTGGTTTGAAATCCACCCCTCACTATTTAAAGCTTTAGTGAGGAACTTTTGTTTTTTTTTGGCACCCCACCATAGACGGGCTCAAAACCCCATGAAATTTGGCAGTAGGTAAGGACCGGCTTAAATTAGCATATTTTGCTGTGCCCACATATATATGAACAAAAAAATGCTTGGGGAGTTTCCTGTATAACTTCCTGTATATTGGTTCTACCTCTGCCAGAGTTTAGTCATTTGATAATGCTCCGGCATCGAATAATTTGACACCAAACTTACGTCCGTATGTTGCAGTGCCACTTGGTGGCAGAGGGGAATGCATTTTTCGGTAAATGGTCTGTAACTCCCTTATTAATGGGATGCAACTGAGATTTGTTCAGGACACACCTGATGGGGCACCACAGTGGCAAGAAAATTAGCACCATGTTTCGTTTAACTGTGCCTAGGTGGTGCTATGAAATGCCTAAAAAAAAAAGTACATATATTACAATCTGTAATATTATAATAATATAATATAGATATGCACAGCCACATACACTGTGACACACATACCACTTGCCTTCATTTCATAAAAAACTGCTGTTGTTTAATCACCACTGATCAGCACTGGGTCAGCTGTAGCCTGGCTGGGCCATCCTGTTGCGTGAATCACTTGCCGTTTCTTCCCACAACAGTCTGGACTTCTGCCCATTGGGAGCGTGTATTAGCAGTCAGAAAATAACCGGGCCATTCAAAGACCGTGTTTCCACTGTTCCCCGGACAACAGGGAAAGGCAGCCCCTGATTGGTCCATGTGTAGATGTGGCGTCTAACACATGCTGCGAAGTCAGCAGAAATCGTTTATATCCGACGTCTTCTGTGGATCTAAAAGATTTCTGCTGACTTAGCAAAGTCAACTGCAGAATTAACGGCATTCTGAATGAACAGGGCTTTGAAAAGTCCCGCAGCATGTGTTAGACGTTACATCTACACATGGACCAATCAGGGGCTGCCTTCCCCTGTTGTCCGGGTAACAGTGGAAACACGGTCTCTGATTGGCCCGGTTAGTTTCTGATCAAAACTGCAACTGATTCACGCAACAGGATGGCCCAGCCAGGCTAGGTCAGCTGTATGGCGGCCATGTTATCCATATTTGGTGGAAAGGCAGTAAAGAGATCATTGGATATTCAAATCAAAACAATTTTAAATAAAACCAAACCAAAACAAAACAAACAAAAAAATGATGAAAATCATCACAACTCTGATGACATCACAGTGATGTCATCAGAGGGACTCCAGAGGTACTCTGAGTTAGCACTGTCTAGAAGACTAGTCTACTTTTGAGACGTGGATTTATCAACTCTCAACGATAAGAGGAAGAACTTTGGTATTTATCAGCTTTAAGCGATAAGAAGAAGAAGGACTTTGATCATCCCTGAGTCCAGAGTTACTCTGAGTTAGCACTGTCTAGAAGACTAGTCTACGTTTGAGACACGGATTTATCAGCTCTCAAGGATAAGACGAAGAACTTTGGTATTTATCAGCTTTAAGCGATAAGAAGAAGGACTTTGATCATCCCTGAGTAGAAATCAATAATGCAGGACTGCAGAGAACCACAAACCTTCAGCCAAAGAATGCGGGGAGGCCGCCAGGTGATCCACCAGGCCCCCCCACAAGGAGGCCTGAGGGTTCACCAACAGGCCCCCTACCAACAACAAGAGGAGGCAAGCCCTCCCCTTTGGACGCCAACTTCGTGGGACCAAATTGAAAGTCTGAGTTTGCGGCTGACAAGAGAGAAGGGTGTAAGGGGAAAGCAGCAAGAAATAATTGAGGCCCTCAAGGGCGAAATTCGAGAACTGCAGCATAAGGCGAAGCTAGAGAGATGTGAAGGCTGTGAGAAAGTCTTTTTGCAGATGAACATGGGTGATTACTCCAATAAAACCAAAGAGGAGCTCATCGGTGTGATTTCTGCACAAAATGACATAATCATTGAAAAGGAGACACCGACAACCCTGAAGGAAGAGGACATCCACAAATTGACTAAATGGGACCTCGCCCGTGCTAACCACAGGCTAGACCTTCAGATGCAGGGCGTAATGACTGTGCTGAAGGCACAGGAGGCCGCCAATAAAGCCATGGAGCAAGAAATGGCAGAGCTAAAAAAGCACTACATCGGTGAGACGACAGCAGCGCCTTTCAGTTTGGAGGAGAAGGTTGATGATGCACAAGACATGGCTGGAGTGCAAGAACTTCAAGATCAGGTCACATCTCTGAAAAATAAGCTTGAAGATGAAAGACAGAGGGCCTCTACCCTCCAACAAGAACAGGAGGAAATGAGTATGTTTGAAGAGAAGATCAGTAAGGACAGGGAGCAAGTTCAGAAGCTGAATGCTGAGAAACTTTCTCTGGAAGAACAGGTGAAGAAACTGCAAGAAGATGTATACAGCAGAGCTATGGAGGGATCCAAAAATACAGAGAAGATCCAAGAGCTCAATGACATTGTATCATCTTTGAGCAACCAGCTGGAGGAGGCCAAGCACCAGCTTCTTGAAAAAAACAAACAAGAACTGCAGCTGGATGAGAGAATGGAGGAAGAAAGGGACATCCTGAAGACCACAGTGGATGATCTGCTACCGGAGACATCCAAACTTGAAGATCAGGAGGAGACAAGCAATGCCATCTGCGAGGATATCAGAGAACCCTTCCCCGAACTGGACAGCACTTTGGTGGACAGTGAAGGAGATGACTCCAATACAGTCAAGGAGACACCTGGGATGATCTCAACAACACCTGAGGTCATCACAGAAACACCTGAGATGGAGGCCATCTCTCTGTGGAGGAGGTTCAAAAAGAGTGTGACTCCCAAACATCGCCGCCAATACAAGAGGCAGAGGCAGAGGCAGGACTGAAAATCCCTGGCTACTTGCCTAGCTAAAAAAAAAAAAAAAAAAAAATGCAATTAAAAACTTTGCCAAAAAAAAAAATGCAAAAAATAAATAAATAAAAAATAACAAAGAAAAAAAAAGAACTTTTCTATAAAAAAGAAAACTTTGCAAAAAAGAACAAAACAATACAAGAAAAAAAATTTGCAAGAAAAAAACATTCTAAACATATTTCAGGTGTCAACATGTTTTCGGGTGTTAAAAGGCCATGACTCCCAAACATTGCCACCAATACAAGAGGCAGAGGCCAGACTGAAAAACCCTGGCTTCTTGTTTTACTTCAAAAAATAAAAATAAAAATAAAAACTTGCAAAAACAATTGCAAAAACATTGCAAAAAACAAAATAACTTGAATCTTAATTTTTCTCTACATAAATGGACTCTTCTCTCAACTGTTGAATGGGCGGGATTCACAATCAATCTTGAACATTATCTTTGAAAGTGTTTGGTTTGTTTATTATGTCTTGTATGTCTGAAAAACCCTGGCTCCTTGCTATACTTCAGAAAAAAAAAAAAATTGCAAAGAAAAAAAAAAACAAATTCTTAAATGAGTATTTTTCTCTGCAAAAATGTTATTGCTTGACAGCTCTTCTCTCAACTGTTGAATGGGCAGTCAGGAAGTATAAGTGTTTGGTTCGTTAATAACCTGTACAGGTAAATGCTCACAAGCTGTTTTGGGTTTCACTATCAATCCTGAATATTATCTTTAAAAGTGTCTTTTCATCTCTCAAAGAGCTGGTTTAGGCCTTATGGGACTAATCTTATTAACGCCCGATGAAAGGTGTATTAGGGTTCCGTTAATGGCTTTTGAATGCTCCTCTTGCTGCTTATTACGCTACATTTCACTGGTTTAACTATGTCTTGCCTTGTTACCTCTCCATGTATGTTGCTGATTCAGTTTTACTTTGGGATGAGTTTGTGCATTATTTTCTGTTAATTAGCATAAAACATTCAAAGTCAGCCAGAAATGGGGTATTTGACTTACTTAAATATCTGCAAAATTTAGAGTACATAGGACCAAACCCTAAGATTATCTTTACTTACAGACCAACAGGTTTTTATTTTTGACAGGTCCTCTCCATGTAAACTCCTGTAATTCATAACATCTGCTGAATTGTAAGCTTTATTTAGGATGAATTGGGAATGACATGTTTGTTTACCTGAGCACAGGACTGTACAGAAACTTAGTGCAGTGACATGTTGAGGAGAGACTTGCTGGTGACAAAAACAACTAGATCAGCATTTGAAAGAAGTACTTTGTCATTTTAATATAATATTACAGCCTTACTGGCAACATATATTATCATCAAATACTCGAGATCGAAACAAAGCCACCACACACAATATACCACAGCCAAACAGCCATTTCAGCACCGAAGACGGCGAACAGCTCCCTTGAGGAGCCTATGTGAGGTTCTGTCCACCAAACACACCCACACACGTACTTCTATTTACGCATTACATAAATTCCACTTTCATTCAAACAGTATGTAAACTATATTGTAAATTACAGTCCACAGTCCAACAGTCCATGGATGAGTTCACTTTGCCATGTTGCGTAACTATGGTCACCGAGTTAGCGAGACCTGTGCAGTTCCCACTGTCTTTTCTGATCAGCCAATGAGGAGAATTCTGCGGCCCTGAACTTCAGGCCCCACTGCCAAAACTTAGGTGTGCACTGCACTCTCGACTGTGCCCCACCGAGCAAAACAGAGGCACAATAACTATTCGCACACAACAGCATTACAGAGAGTAGAGAAATTGCGTTCATCAAATGAAAATTGCAGACATCTCAGTGTGGACAAACTTATGCTCAACAACATTTTTGACAGGTAAACTTAGTATACACAGCAGCGCCCTCTGGTGGGGTCGTGCCCCACCGGACCTTTGTGCAAAGAAGCCATTGCTTGCAAATGGGTAAGGCATGTTTTCTGACAAAGGAAAAATGGGGAAAGAAAGCATAAAACACATGCATTATATCAGCAATGTTGGTCACTGGTATCTGGGGGAAGTTTTGAGGATTGAGGATTCAGGTGTAGCCATATTGGAAATGGATAATCAACCCAACATTGGCGGCAAAGAGGTGGAGTTATGAAAGGCTTTTCACCTCTTGGCTGACTGCCATGCCCACAATGTCAGTCAAGTGTATTCAGGCTGGTAATCTTTGTCAACAATCAAATTTTATAAATTTTTATTCATTATTTTTGAGTTGTATTTAAATTTTAAGACTTAAATCTATCATTAATACCTAAAGCTCCTAAAGAACCTTTGAATTGTGCCCATTTTGGCTCCCCTCTATCGTAGACGCAGTCTTTGATTATCCTCTATGTGCATAAGTAGAGTCTGTTGACAAATAATCACACCCTGCTGACTTCAGACATTCAAATTTATCATTTATTGCGAGTATTTTTTTTAAAATATAGAAACTGTAAAAACAAGGGTCTCTTCGACTACTTAGTTTACACCAACCCTCTCTTGCTAAAATCAAGCATTAACATTTACATTATTAACATGACCGACCTTGTCGCTGATGGCCTTGCTAACTTTTTATCATAAAAAGACATCAGTGTGAATTTCCGCCTATTTCATGCCCTCTACGGTGGCAGTCACAAATATTTTTGTACAAGGTCAATAAATGCTACATCTTTGCTTTGATGTCCTTAATACTGATCACAGACTGTGTATAGAATGGATACCACCTGCCTAATGGCTGGGTGGAGCCACCATGAGACAGCACCCCCTAGTGACTGGTTGCAGTATAGGTCATAAACCCCACCTCCTCTAACAAAATAGATGGCGCTGTAGAGAAACTTCAAAAACTGGGTCCAAGATGTACATTTTTTTCACCCCTGGTTGCAATGTTGACATTTAGTTATTTTAAAGTAAATGTATCATATTAAAATGACAGACAAGCTGAGTGTCAACAATAAAAAGGTTATTGGCAGAATAACATCAGTCAGATTCACATGGATAATGTGCATATAAACAAATTATATAAAGATAGTGTTCCTTCAATGTGTATTTTTAAAGACATATAAGATAAGAACTTCATTGATTCTCAAAGTGAAATTCAATTGGGCTGGTTGTTGTGATTATTACTGTTACTATTGTCAGGTCTGAGAGAGAAAAACTACAGGGTCTGTGTAAGCAGGAATTAGTGAGCCTTCTCTGAGTCTTGTCTTTGAGAAGTCTCCGTGCTGAAGAGGACCTTGAATGCACAACACTTTCTTTCAGCACACTGCATGTAAAAAGGAAGAAAAGATAAAAAGTTGTTGTGGAAGCACTTTTAGAAGAAAGAGTAACACCTTCAGCTGAAATGTAGAGTAGGCTGACATTGAAGAGGAAACTCAAAAAGTAATAATGGATAACTTCTTGTGATTCATACTATTATTTTTGAACATTCCTTCCTTTAAACTATTTTTCTCTCTTTCAATCTCTGCAGAGCATAATCTTGATTTGAATCAATGGTTGGCTGCTTCTAAAACAAACCTCAAATGTTCTATCAGTCATGAGTGAAAAAAGTTGATCGGGAGAAAACCCATCTTCCAGACACATCCTGGTTTTCTGTTTGCAAAGTTAATCGAGCTGACACACTTCTAAGTCAGTGCTTACGCTTTCAAATGGTCCTGACAATTATCTGAACGCAGCATTAGGTGGTAAACTAAGGAGAGAGATCATCCAGACAACAACAACAGCAACTGGCCTGTTCACACAGGCTGTACTGTCACACTTCAGCAGTTCATATTTATTTAGCTGCCAAATTAGAGTCTATACTTCATCCTGCCTGCCTGTGGACGGGAGGAGGGGGGGCAGAAAGGCTAAACACTGCAGGCTCATTATCTCGCTAGTTACATGTTTACTGTTTCTAAATACACCTAATTGGGAGATCAAAGCTCTGGTGACTACCTCTCCCCGTGGCTGAGAGGGCAGCCAACCACAAATCTGCTCACCAGCTCACTAATTTGATCAAATGCGCCCATGTCTTGTGAGTTAGAGCGATGGTCTTGAGTTCACTCGTGTGTAACTGTGAAATGGAAAGAAGTCTCACTTCATGTTTGGGGTTTATTGCTCTTTTATTTTTCCTTTTCTTTTTCTTTTTTTTTAACAGGGGGGAAGAGTTTGAAAAATCTCTGGCTTTACTCAGGGTTTTGTCGGGCAGACTGGCTTTTGACCCTTTTTTTTAGCTGTCTCAAGAGGAGTTGATCTCAGAGTCTGCAGCATTTTGTTGACGTGTCTCAGAGACAACTTTATTTTAGAGTTGAAACGCCTCCCAAAAATTAGGTGTGTGTGTGTGTGTGTGAATGCATAATCAAGGACAACAAATTTGATGTCATATTAATTTTTCCCATACAAAGTGGAAACTAAATACCGTACAGAAGATCTAGAAATACAGATGACTTCTCTAAGCTTAAGCCCATTTAAAATGGACTGAGACCTGGTGGAAAACTTCCATGTGATCTGACAGATCAAACTTGACATTCTTCTTGGAAATCATGGATTCTGCATCTTCTGCTCCAAAGAGTGGAGAGACCAGCTGGCTTATAGTCACCACACAAGTTCAAAAGCCACCACCAATGAGTTCCCACCTAGTTTATATAGGTGGGAAGGCATCAAAAACACTGCCTGATTCCTGCAGGTCTTGGAGCAACATCTGCAACATACATCAAGCAGCTGTTATCTTGAATTGGGACAGCGTGCTTTCAAAATGCTAGAAACTTGAGTCCACAGGACCCAAATCTTGTCAGTGTAATGTGAAAAGAAGAGCTGATGAAACACAACAGTATACAAATAATGTATTTCTGTCATCACATGTAAAATGAGCATATATTTTACATTTTTTCATAGGAGAATACAGTTGTTCAGTTTTCACATTTGATTGGTTGTCTTTGTGCTATGTTATTACAAATTACATGATTTGAAAACCATCAAATTCTGTTATAAACATTTATCCAAGCCCTGTAGGAAGT